TCGCCAACACGAGATTCCAGGCCCGGGTTTTGCCGAGGTGGATCTGCGCGTTGGCGTGCCTCGGCAGACTCGTTTGGGCGACGCACAGCACATCCAGGGTTCGTTCCGGGTCCGACGTGAGGCACACGTCATCCAAAAACGCGAAGGGTTGGAGCCCTGCCACCAAGTGCTGCAATGAATAGATCCAGGGTGCAGCGCGCTTCTTCTTTAGATTTGGTGAGTCGGCGGCGGCGAAGGCGCTCACCGCGCCCCCCCTCCCCCCCGCCACGCAGGCGACGTTGGACGCTCTACAGGACCCGCGCCGGCGCCCACGGGTAGCACGAGTCCCGCTGGATGCCGACCTACAGCGGCCCAGTGTTCAGCCGGCGCAGCTTTGCGCGGACCGTTTGCTCGACAACCTGCGCCGTGCCCGACGGGGCGCCGCGGCAGGGCCTTCAGGGTGCACCAACGAGCACCTCCGTGTCCTGCTGGATGATGAGCAGACCACTGAACTCCTCCACTTACATTGCAAATTTGCCACGTGATCGATGGCTGATTCGTGTGTTGGAATGGCACCCCCGACGAGTTCAGGCTGGGAGGCAGCCTAGCAATTGTGGGAAGATGCACTCATGATGTATTGTCGTTGGCGTCAATTGGGAAATTGGAAGTCCGCAGCTGTTGATTCAAAATGGTGGTTACGACAAACATATGAGTTCATTGATTCATTTCGTTACAAAGCAATGAGCCGCGCAATTAGTCGTCGCATTTGATTGTTTCACTGCCTGCACCTTAAATGGGCCGCCTTCGGGCATCAGGCTTGACCTTGACCTTGATCTTGACCGATTCAGCAACAGGCATCGCAGCAATCGATGACGCATATGGTGTGCTCAAGTACATGAAGCGAACACAAGGCGTGCTTTTGTCATGGTTGCATGATGTCAGCATTGATCCCGACAACAACATCAAGAAAACCAGCACCGACGACATCCTCGCAGATGTCATGACGAAAGCATTGGAGAAGAACAAGTTCCAGTTTTTTTTCGCGGCTTTTGGGAGTTCACCCGCATGGTTGAGATTTGCATGCGAATTTCACAGCATGGTTGAGCATGACCTTGAGCAAGCGATTGACCGTTGGTTGAGCATGACCTTGAGCAAGCGATTGACCGTTGATTTCGTTGTCATGATTATGCGCGTGTATTACATGCTCCGCTCTCCGGCTTGCTCCCCTTGGCCGCCATGTTCTATGCCTGCAGTAGCCATTACCTTTTCTATGACGCCGACGGGCATGCACATTGATGCAGGGCTGTATGCACTCGGCCAGCACCAAGCGCTCGCGTGTCTGCACGCAGAACTCCAACCCGGGGAAGGCCTAGTCACGTCCTTGTTTGATATGTACCTCACGCGGAACAAACCCTGGACGCGGCCCTAACGCGCAAAAATGTGCCTGCCCAGGCACGCCAGCGTGCAAGTCCACCTCGGCAAAACCAAAGTCAGAGTCCACTGAGGGCTCAGCTCAGGCAAGAGGCTACCCTAGTTATGTTCAAGAGTGCAACGTAAACTCGACGCACGCATCCAAATAGATCCAAATGAGTTATCCATTGGTGCGTTTCTTTTGCAATTGTAAACCATGGTATGTGTTCGCTCGGCGTGTCGTGTGGTGCGTCGCGTAGTGTGTCACGTGCAAATGGTGTCTCGCGTGGTGTTCATAGCGCGGTCGCCACTGCTCCGACGGGCAACTGCACTGGGTGGTGGGGGGCTGTTTTTTTCAAGCGCTCGTTGCCATGGTCGCCGCAGGATCCGTGAGCTCGCGCCACGCGTCCTCCGTGCTTGGGGCGAGGTCAGCCGCGGTCAACACTTGACGAGCAAGCGAAGGTTCGCCTTGGCGTACTTTCGCGATGTTTCGCGCACGCCTGGTTGCGCTTGAGATCGGCGGTCATGTGGGATTTGACTTCTCTGGTCTGGTCCCGGATGCGTTGAAAGGTCGTGGCTCAGCTCAGCAGCTCGGCTCGCCCGTGGGCGCGGTCCGTGGACGGCGGGTTTCCGGGCGCTCTGGTACCGTGGAAGCACTGCACGGGCTGATGGGCGATCAGCAAAAGTCCGGCAAGCGCACGCTCACCCACAGCATCTGCGCCAGTGACAAAGACCTGTGAGCAGCACCACAGTCTACCAGAAGCTTATTCGAAAGTGACTCCATCGACCACGGCCTGCAGCCAGGCTGTCAAATGCTGTCAAAACATTTGGGCCAAAAGCACATAAGGATTCGTCAACCCTGTATGGTTACAAGCTAAGCTTGCGCCGCCTGGGTGCCTCGACGTGTCGACGCAAGTGGCGCGCACGGCAGAGACTCATGACAACTACTCGACGAGGTTGGTGCGATCCAGCACTTTTCAAGCTGACGCAGGAGAGCCACTCTCCTTACCCAACCCGGCACTGACATGCGTGCATACCACCGTTCAGCAGGCGTATGTCGCGCATACGGGCCAGCACCAGAGTCACCAGACGTCTGCCGCCCACACACCCCACACGCCACCATCAGCCAGCACCCTCAGAGTCACCTCAAACCTGTGTCCCACCTCTTGGTGCAGAGTCTGGGTTTGTCTGGGCATTTGACACCCTGCAGCCAGGCTGTCAAATGCTGTCAAAACATTTGGGCCAAAAGCACTCTGGACCATCGGATGCTTTTGAGATCTTTCGAATGTCCGGGGAAGGCATACTTAGGAAGTGATGGGAAGTATTCCAGCAGATCCAGGCGGAGAGTCATGCACCAGCAGTGGAGATGCATCATGGCAACGTCGCATCGCACCCATGCCAAGGCCGTGTGCTATCACGATTACGACATGATGCGTTTGTCGACTGCTGCCCAAACCTGCAGCACACACCACGCCCTAATTACCCTTTTCCACGTGCGTTTCCGGCAAGCGCACGCTCACCCACAGCATCTGCGCCAGTGACAAAGACCTGTGAGCAGCACCACAGTCTACCAGAAGCTTATTCGAAAGTGACTCCATCGACCACGGCCAACGGCGACCCTGGAGTTCGCGTGAGTGAGGACAACCGACTGAGGCCCGGGCAGCAGGGGTTGGACAGGGCACAGCCTCAATATCTCCCCAGGAACTCCCCGCTTAACCCCTGAAGACCTTCAACCACGCACAGTTCGCTGTATTCATCGGCTGAAAGTCCACTGTGGCCGCGGCTCCCGGCCGCGCTTCTTGTCGAACTGCAAGGGCCTTGATCACAGAGATATAAAAAACACGCCGCTTTCTGGAAGGGTCGCGAAGGTGCAGAAGGTGCAAAGGACTTGCATAGAAAGCTTTGTGAAAACCACCGCTCTGCATGAGGCGGAGGCAGCTCTGCACTACCACAGATGAAGCCCGCTGCATCTGTGCATAAGAGATGTCACGCTGTCTTCCCACGCGAAGAAAAGCCAAGATGTGGATTCTGCAGTATCATCACAAGAAAATCGAGAGAACCTATCTCTTACAGAACTTCCAAGGTTTTTCTTCGAGTCTAGGCACAAGCCTCTGCCTCAACGACTCTCTGGCCCCTTGTAGAGATTCCTTGGAAATCCACCGAGAGGGGCTTCACAGCTCTGTGGGGCGACTCCCGATCTCGCGTGACTCTCACAATATGCCGCTATGCCGAATTCAGCAGACTCTGGCTTTGCCAGGCGCTGTGGCAATCCGAGGCGAGCTCTGAGTACTCTCTGAGTACCGTCTGAGTACCGCCTCTCCGGTGTCCGCACTTTGGCGCTATCCCAGGCTGTGGCTGGCGGCATAGATGGAGGCCCATCCTGCGCAGCAGACATCAGATCACGATCATCGTTTGCACACTTTTGGGGCTTTGAGACCATCACATCTTAGAGTCAAAAGCCTTCGAGAATTTCGAGGGAGCTGTCGCCAAAGGGCAGGAACCTTGCAAGGAAGCTTTGATGCTGAAAAGCAAAGCCTAGCAAACAGCAAACAAAAGCGCAGCAACGACGGTGCGATTCGCTCTCTGAAGTTGCCCTAACCCCAAAGTCTTTGTCCCAGTGCAGGAGCCTCCTTGACCAACCAAAAAAAACCCCCCGAAACAGGATGTCACTCTAAATCCCGGCTCTGGAAACCAAAGCCAAGCTTCGCATGGCCAAGGAAAAAGCCGACGTTGTTTATGATTCTGGGTTTCGACGGGTATTTGCAGGCTTTGTGAAGGGTAGTTCCGCCCAGCTTCGGTCTGCAAGTTGGTTTGGATCAAACTCTTTGCGGCCGGTCAACACGGGAAGAAGACGAAAAAAACCGGAAATGATGGAATACGAAGCGAATCAAGAAGAAGACGGACTAGTCGTCTAGGAAAATCCAAACATGAATACAGAAGCATCCGAAAACGATGGAATGCGAAACGAATCGAGAAGACTGCAAAAGATGGACACATCCGGAAATGATGGAAAAAATGGCTCGGACAAACAAAACAACGAAAACCCCGGAAATGTCCGAATATGAAGGGGAGATATGGAAAAGGAAACGAGTCGAGCAGAAGAATGGAAAAGCCGGAAATGTCCGGAAATGTAAAACGGAAACATCTGCAAGTAGTAGAAGACGAAGCGAATCGGGAAAAAGACGGCATGTCCCGAAATGTCCGAACATGAAGATGGGAAACATCCGGAAATGGTGGAGTATGAAGCAAAGCGGGAAGAAGACAAAACAAAATCGGAAATCAAATGTTCGAACAGGAAAGACGGACATTTCCAGACATGATGAGATGGGAAGCGATTGGAAGCGTATGCGGCATGGTTGCTTGGCTTTTGAAGTGCCGTCGCGGTCGCTTGGCAAATCTATGCTGTTGGGTCTTGAATGGACTCATTTGTCAGAACCCGGTCCCATTATCAACACCAAGTTCTAAACAGAAACTTCTAGAAACCCTGATACTGTATTCCCCAACCGTCTCCCAAGGCGTTCTGCATGATTCAGTTCCAACCTCTTTCTTTGGATTCCCCCGCATCATACCGTGCCCCTATAATCGCAAAGAAGCTTGTGCTTCTTCAGCCGGGCATTCAGGCTTTTCGTTTTCAAGGCCACCTGCACAAGAGGCGCAAACATGCAAGAAGTATTTCAAATCTTGCAAGTTGAGGGGCGGTCTCAGGTGTCGGCATAGAGGTTGCACAAACCGACACACGCGTGGGGCTGTTACAAGCTGCTGGAACACGCTACGTGTAAGGGCCAACAACTGCCGCAGCTCAACTTTTTCCCACGGACCCCAGCCTGGAGGGAGCGATTTTCCACGCAGCCGACTCGCCGAAGCTTGTGGCAAACCTGCACTGAGCCGACAGACTGAGGGGTGCTTCAGCTTTCGGTGGGAATGAAACTTCCAGGCAGTATGTTGAGCGCATGCCCTTCAGCGATGCACTACTGGTTCACTGCCTGCTGCTGGTCCTTCAAATCCCAGCCAGTTTTCGACGCCAAGTACCGCACCGTCTTCGCAAGGTCGTTCTGTGGGGGGCGCGTGCAAACTGAGACACAACATGCTGTGTTTAGTTGAGACAAGCTGCGTGCTCGAATGCAAAGTCTGTCAAAACTGTCATTTCATCCTCCGGAAACTGTTCTACCTTGGCAAGACACCGGCTTGGCTGTAGAGCCATGGATTTCTAGAAGGTGGATCCAAGGATACTGAATGGAAACAGCTTCACCGCCGGGAGGCAGAAATCTTGTCCAATTCCTTCTCCACGCTCCCTTCGGTGAATGCTTCGACAAACCATGTCTCCTTGCCGTAGCAGCCATGGCTCGCAGCGAGCCCTCATGCACGTAGACAATCGTAGACATTTTGGCTTCTTGGCTCCAAGGCTCCGTGTACAGAGTCCCTCTGACGAGCCGATCGAAGACTTGCTCAGCTCGTTTCTCGTCCCAGCCGGCTTTGTCCGCGATCTGCTGAAAGAGGGGCCTGGGCCATGTGTCATCATGTGTCTGCAGCGCATTCAAACTTCACATAGGGACAGGCGCTGAAGGTGTCAGAGTGAGAGTTGGCATGGGCAGGGTGAGGCAAAAGCCCTATTTCAAACCCTACCATTTCAAACACCGACTTGTCGTAATTCAAAGGCATTCAAAGGCATCCCTTCAGACCGGTGTATGCTATAAAAGTCCGCAGTTGCCTGAACGCGGCGATGTCCCTCTCCTGCAAGTCTTAAGAGTCGTGTCCCCACATCGCGCAACGCTGAATACTTTTTGAGGACTGCTGCTTCTGCTTCTAACTAAACAACGCACGTTCTAACTTCTGACTAATACAAATCATTGCTATACCAGTGGTTACTCATATCTGGTACAAGTGCAAGAACTGCTTCCACACCCGGATTATGACGGAGCTCACTTAGTCTTCGCACAAGGCTGCGGATTCAGTCTCTCAAGTTTCTGCAAAGTGCTCCAGTGCCGGAAGTCCTTCTGCCTCTTCTCTTCAGCTTCCGAGGCCTCGATCAAGGCCTCCATGTCACCTTTCAACATCCCACGCCGGGCGGACCCACAGCAAGCAGAGGTAGTAAATTCTGAGCAGGTTCTTACAGTAGATGCAGCCATACACCAAGATGGAAGGTGGCTGTGACTTTGTATTCTATTGGAAGCTGAGATCCGAGGGGCTGATCCGGTCCTGGAAGCGCTCCTTCTGCTCCAGGCGGTCCCCATAGTTCTTCAGCTTCTCCTTGATGCCATCCCTCCACTCCCTGAGCTGCGAGGTGATGCGATCCAAGCAAGCCGCTTGGGACTTCGTCTCCTGCAAGAAAACAACAACTTCACGGCAGTGCCGGCAACGAAAAGGAAGAGGTGACATTCGAACGACTTGCTCAAGCCTTTGACAGCAGGCCGAATCCCTGTCACAAGGGCACGCATGTTCGTGCAGTTGTGTGTCGGCCTTCAGCCAGGGATGCAGGGCAATTACAGGATTCTTGCTCTTCTTGACGATCTCTTGCAGAAACCTGGGGTCCATGCGTGGTTTGCGAGTGCTGCTGGTGGATGATGTAGCTGCTACATGCTCTTACCGTCCGGGTTGCGGCATTATCTGAAAGAGCTTCCCCTCCGGAATCTCGTGCTTGTCGAACCACCTTGTGGCAACAATGGTGAATGTTGAGAGATCGGCAAGGGCAACCCGCACCACATTGATGGGCTTGGATTTAAACGGAACCAACGGAACCACCAGCCAGAAACTCCTTGTCTTCTCCCACCACAATCTCCAGAATTTCCAGAAGCCCCATCCAAATCCCCAGCCATGATCTGAGGGAACAAAACATCATGACACATTAAAGTTCAGGGAGAAAAACAGGACACCACGCGAACCACACGGAGGTGAACCATGAACGCGTTGAACCGAAAACTAAAAAGCCCACCGCAAACAGTCCACAAAGTGTTTCCGGAAAGTAATGTGTGGGTGTGGTGGGATTTAGCATTGCTGCTGGCTGTCTTAGCTGTCTTAGGTGTCTTAGCTCTCTCTTGTCTGGGCGTTGCAAAGTCGGGCCACTTGTCCCGCTCGGCCCAAAGGGTCGCGTCATCCCTCACTGCGCATCGGATGGCGTCTGAGTCGACGACGAGGACGTCCACATCCTTACGGTGTCGTGGAAAAACACAACGGATGCAGGGGATACAACAGACATGGAGCTCCTCAGATGTACACAACTTGGATTCAACTTACTTAAGTACTTCCATGTGCCAAGCTCGACATGCTTTTATGTGGGGGGGGAGGGGGGGTCCCTCATATGTTGTACTTGTACAGAGAACCAGGTGGCCTTTTGTATGGACTACACGCCGAAGGAGGGGAGGAAGAAACATGGAAGGTGGAGAGACAGGGAAAAGGAGCGACGCGGATGCAAAAGGGAAGCGAAGGAAGCAAAGATTAGGCACAAGATAGATATGAGCGAAAGAGATACAAAAGAGAGAGAGAGAATTGAAAGAGGCAGTCGGAATGTCCTATGCCATGCTACAAACTGAAATAGCTGCCTGGCGAGGTTTCCCCTACATCACTGTTTGCTTCAGCTGCCTCCTCCTGCTGTGGATAATTTGCACATGCAGAAGCGTTCGAACCCCACGCTTGGCAAAAAACGTCTCCCCGATGCTCGAGGTCGGCACATCCATAGAGGAAAAAGTGGCTAGGAAGGACAGTCTGAACACGAGCGAGCCTGAACATGCTTGCCTGTGTGTGCACCAGCTTGGCTGTTTTAATCGAGAGCTGCTCCAAAGCCGAGCGTCATTCTCCTCACAGTAGGGCAAAGCCTCCGTCAAGGCGCAAGGGGCGCTGTTCAGAAACGGCGACGCAAGCAAATGCTATGCCTGTTATGCATCTTCAACCTTAAGACAAGTAAACGTCCGCCTACAGTCTTCAACGTTCCCACGTGTGGGAAAGTTGTAGGGCGTCCTGAAACAAGTTGAACCGAACAGAGTCACAAGATGTCCCCAACTGAAAGCCACTTTGTCTACGGGAAGCACCTGCAACCTGGAATCGCACTTCATCTCACTTCACAGGTCACAGCGCTCCACCTTTTCCCATTCGGCTTCGTAGTTGAGATCGATGTTTTTGATCCCGTGCTTGTGGAAGAAGTCGGTCACCCTCGGCTGCAGGTCCTCACATCAACCGAAGCCAATGTGCTAGATAGTACGATAATGTACGATGTTTGTGTTTGAAGAAACATGCAGGACTGAAAAGGGCCGACCGTCCTCGAAGTAGGCCTGGTGCATGGCCATGATCCGCACGAGCCTCAAGGGCCTCCCTCGTTCCTCGCGCTCCTCGGCTGTGCCGATACACGCAATGGACAAGCAGAGGAGCTCCAAATATTCGGCAAAAACGTGAAAGAAGAGAGAGACGAGAGAGAGAGAGAGAGAGAGACGAGAGAGAGAGAGAGAGACGAGAGAGAGAGAGAGACGAGAGAGAGAGAGAGAGAGAGGGAGAGAGGGAGAGAGGGAAAAAGGGAGAGAGGGAGAGAGGGAGATGGGAGGAGAGGAGAGGGAGAGAGGGGAGGGAGAGGGAGGGAGAGAGGGAGAGAGGGAGAGAGGGAGAGAGGGAGAGAGGGAGAGAGGGAGAGAGGGGGCAGCCGTCCGCCAAGGGTCCATCTTGGCACCTTGCAGGCCACACGCGCTCCACGTCTTTCCCCAACTTTACCACCAAGTCTTCAGCTACGAACTGGGATTCCACACAGCACCGCCTTTTCAAGTCTCTAAAGAAGTCAGCAGAAAGGTCTCTAAAGAGGAACTTCCAATGAACGACATCTGCCCCAAAGCCGGGTCTGTCATGTGCCTCGGAACATGAAGTCGATGAACTCCCGCACTTGGAGTTGGCCGTCTTTGTTGTAATCACCTCAAGTAGCTTTATCTAAGCTAAATATTTATGAGCACATTCTAGAACTGATTCTAGAACTGATGCAGGGAATTCTCAGCTTCAATTAAGGCCGAAAAAACAACAGCAACAGCTCACGAATGGCGACCTTCTTGGACACAAGCCTGTGAAAAGCTACACGCCAGTGCGCTGAGTCAGCTCAAGGTGCACTGTTCCAGGAGGAGGTCGATCATGTCATCCTGATGCCGCTTGAGAGCTACATGAGGAGATTTGCATGCCCTCTCACAAGGTTCGCAGCTTGACGCCATTCATAACGAGATCATTAGAACGAAGATATGAGGTGTTGATGACCGTTTCACCTGGTGTCCCCTACAGCATGGGATCTTAAGGGCATCTAACTGTTGCAACTTCAACCCAAGGCGCGTCCCAGTTGGAGACCTTCTGGAAGATGGCCTTCAACCTGTGCCACATCGGGAATCACTTGGGGAACATGGTTGATGATTCTTTGACGAACATGCTTAATTCGTGGCACTGTCATGTGCAAGAGGGCCTCGACGACGAGTAGAGATTTGCGAACTGTACTCGAAATTTGCAGCTGAGCGGCTCGTCTCTGCTGAGTTTGCCGTCCATGTTGTGATCTGCGGCCCTGAGTTGTCCAATTGTTGTCGTCTAATTGTCGCTTCAGTGCCTCTTTTTGTGCAACGGTCCGCACGGGGCTCTCTGCGGCAAACTTTTGGGGAAACGACGACAGATCTTCGATTTGCTGAGCATGTGCATGCAACCATATTCGTCTGCAGTGCAAGAGGTACTGGGTTACTGCAAGCCTGGTGACTCGAAGATCCGCTTCACCCGCTCGGCACTCTCCCATGTCGACATAGCGGCAGCTGGTAGCACTGGGTCAGGCTCTAGGCTGGGCTACATGCCTAACTACATGGGTAGCGCATGGCTACAAGTACTGTATGCTCCCACTGTAGCATGTACTTCGCGGGCATAGGGTCCCAAACATCATCATATTGCAAATGGACCAACCGCACATGCGCGGCGATTTCGTGTAGCGGCCGATGAAATTTTCTCGGGCCAGGTTATTCGAACAGCATGCGGCGTAACAACACGATGCCCATCTCACACGATCACAGGCTTCCAGGCGGAGACCACTCCACGATCAAGAGGCCGGAGGTGACGGCCGCCTGGACAAGCAGCTCACTGTAGCTGGCTGAGGATTCGACAAGCGTGCGTACCTTGCTTAAGATTGCAGATCTGCCAGTGTCCGTCGCCGTATGCTTGGGAGACACAGATGTCACAACACGTGTCAAGTACATGGAGACACAAATGCGCTCGGGTGGCACAGACGTTCTTCCAAAAAAGCAAACGAAGCGCCTGAAGAGCTGCTTTCCACGTGGTTTGTGATCGAGTTTGGAAGCTTGCACCCTAAAGGCTTCACAAGGCAATTCTATCAATCGAAGGGGTCCGTGCATGTCTAGACTTGCCAGCGTGTCATTTCAAGTCCGACTGCGCCACGGACTTCTTGATGGCGCCCAGACCGCTTATCAGATAGGCGCCACAAGTCGCTACCGATATGATCGGAGCACAGTGGTTGCCCATGGAGATGAAAGCAGTCTTTTGTTCAGGACCGACGGCTTGCAGTCTTCCTCTGGTGTATCTTGGGGCAGTGGAGGATGCATGCCAATACTTTCAGCTGCCAGATGAATGCTGGTAAGTTTTTACCAGGAGAGCCGTGGATTAACAGTGCACTTGAACACCCAAAGCTGGAATGACCAGCAGCAGTGGATCTTCCAGGTGGGATTGCCCGGAAGTATCACGGCATATGCTTGGACACATGGGCTGAGGTTCGCGTGACACTCACGAACATCTTTGTCCTGGGCGACCTACGGGATGTCTCGCCCACTATGCATTGCGTTACCCACTGTGCGTTACATGATGGCCTAGCTGTGGCAAGCGATCTCTACAACGCAAGACCTGACATGGCATTTCACCGAGCAACCAGGCTAGACAGGGTTACCCGTTTCTTATTGGCCTGTGAGAGGAAGGACTACGACAAGCTCAAGCCTGGACTCGACAAGTTCAATGCGATTCACTGTCCTGGCTTCGAGCCCGTCATGGAGATCAAAGATTTGCAAAAGCAGTTGGACAAAGGTGGTTATGTCGATATGAGGCGTTGCGTGCAGAGAATGCTGAGTTGAAGGAGAAGCTCACGCAACAGGCTCAGAAAGATCCAATCGAGGAGGCTGCTCGCAGAGAATGCTGAGCCGAAGGAGAAGCTCACGCAACAGGCCCAAAAAGATCCAATCGAAGATGTTGCCGATGCCAAGGACCACCAACTAGAATCCGAGCTCAGCCTGGCAGCAACAATGGTCGAAGATCTCACAGCGAAGAATGCGAAGCATCGCGAGGACGTCAAGGATCTCGCAGCCATTCGATGTCAGAAGTGCCAGGCGAAGATACGGATTGTTCTATGTACAGACATCATGATGGTTGTGGTGTGCAAGTGTGACTCGAAGTTGTAGACATGAACACTTTTGTTGCGTGAAGGCTTCGACAAGTCAGATAAGGCCCAGTTTCACAAGAAAGCCAAGTTGATTCATGGCCGCTCCATCGACTTCACGTCATGGCCATGACTGTACACTGGTACAGAATTGCGAGGTTCAGATTTCGGATACCTTTTCCTCTCCTATTCAAGCGGCCTGGGATGGAGGCGTACTTGACACGTGTTGTGACATCTGTGTCGAATCTGTGTCTCCCAAGCATACTGCGACGGATACTGGCAGACCTGCAATCTTAGGCAAGGTATGCATGCTTGTCGAATCCTCAGCCATCTCGAAGAACCCTACTAATCAAGCTAAGTTTGGCCGCGCGGGAGCTGCGGCCATGGAGCGATAAAAAAAGAACATCCCAACATCCCTACATGCTGTGTAGCACAGTGCTCTCCTGCCTTGTTCATGCCGTTTGCAGCGTACAACCCACAGCTTTTGTGGCGATGTAGGCCCGGGACCTGGATTGTGTTGAAAGCATGCTAAACAAAAAGCTGCCCTGTGGCCGTGTTTCTCTGCAATGTCCGCCCGCCGGCGTTGATGCAGGCATTGCAGGCGCAGGGTGCTCAACAGGTTGCGAGACTCTTCCGCAATTAAAGTGGTTGCTGCTGCTTCTTTTTTCCCCAGTACTGTTTGCAAGATGGAACAGCAAGGGCTCCTCTAACAGCGAACTCAACAGTCCGACATGGACAGCAGGCTCGCCAGCATAGCGTCAAACGGATGCTTTGTCCGTTCATCAATGGCCTGTCGTGACTCGTCCTCTTCTCATCGCATCTCAGACATGCGAAGACTGTACGGCAGGAAGACCGTGTAGGCACATGATGGCACATCAAGCGGTCAACGCTTTAGGTCTGTGCGAAGTTCGCCACCGGCACGTCTGACGAACTAAGATCTGCTCGTGGAGGGTTCGGCTCAGGCATGTTCAGGCGCTCGTCAAACCACAGGCCATGCTGTGATAGCTGTGAGATGCTGTGAGCAATGATCGATGCTCACATGTCCGGCAGTCCCAGGCAGGGCATGCAAATCGCAGCGTGCCCAATTCAGGCTGGCTGGTGCAGCTTCCTGAGAAACTAGTCCAATGCCGAGTACACTCGGAAGCAATCCCCATCTCTCAAAGCATCGCCCGAAGGGAAGCGTAGCTCTGCCAGCACTTTCTTGCACACGGCCTGCCCGGGCCTGGCACGTTAAAGAAATGTCAAGCATGCCCCGGCTAAGCACATTGCGAAAGCAAGCCCTCAACGTCCCAAAAAACGCATCAGCATGCCCCAGAATGCTTCAGCATACCCATCAGTACACAGCGGATTGCCAGGTTTGAGCCTGCCATGGGTGTGCACAAGGGTAAGGGTCTCCTTCGGATGGAAGCGCTCCAGCGAAAGCGTGCCCCACCTCATCTGCAACACATGCCAACATGAGTTTCAGCCGTATGTGCGGCAGTACAGCGTAGTACAGCACAGTCCGCGCCAGGCGAGCCCGCTGGAATCTACAACGACTTCCTTCTTTCACTAAGCACGGTGTTAAGCGTTAGAGCCGCATGACACCTGTCGGCAAACCAAACGTCGAGGGGCTCGGGCCCAGAACCAAAACGAACATTGAGCTTGTGAGTACTTTGCCAGTAGCAACTCAGTAGTGTCCACTTCGTGTTCACAGAGCGATGCTAGAGAACCCCGCCACCCCGCTTCATGCCGCTCCCTTTCGCACATGCTGTGAAACTAAAGACTTCTGCAAAACTTCTACAAGTATGCTCTAAGTACACAGCAGGCTCTGAGCTGCGGGCATGAGCATCGTCAGCCGTTGGCGCAGGTCGTAGAGGGGGTTGTACCGGGGCGGCGGCGGCGCCGCCTCCTCCGAAGAAGGGCACGGCGTGGCGGTGACGTGACGTAAGACTCTCTCGTTCTGCTTCCTGTCTTCCAAGTTTCCACCAAGCGTCGGCAACCTCCATAAGGATCCGCTGTGCGTCTTCCTGCGCGCATGCGGCATGGGGGGGGGCCACTCTTCCATCGGTTTCCTTGCCGTTAAATGTTCAGCGTGACTTTGTGGCGCTGCAAAGTAAGGGGCTGCATCTTGCTCGATTCTTGTTCGTCGATGTGCTCTGTTGCAACGCTTGCCTCGCCGCCTCGATCATGGACTTGCGCAAAACTCCCGTGAGTCACGGGTGTTTGCGAAGATTCGTTGGTTGTTGTCTTGCTCCTGATCCTCGGCTTCAACCTCGTTGTGGTGCTGGCCGTCTTGCCCAGATGTCGCAAGTCAACACGTCTCACTCGTTTTTTTTGGCTCTTCTTCGCAGGGAATGTTCTGAATTTTACATTAAGTAACTTACTTCAATCGTTATCCTTTCAGGGATGCGCAAAGCTCGGCAACTTTGGAAGGTTATCAAAGATCGATTCTTGGATCCCTCAGATATCAGCTCACTGTGAAGGAAGGAGTCCGAAAGAAAGTGTCTCAAAGAACCCAACATCCCTCAGAGCATGGTCCCATAGATCGCCCACCGTGGCATTCAGTGCGATGTCCACTGGGCCCCGCCAGGGGAAGTCCCGCCATCCCTCCGCCGCCAGCTCAAAGTAGAGTGACACCTCTCCGCACGGAAAAGCACTCAGCGACACCCATGCGAGGTCACCTCTTCTTCTTCTTCTTCGTCGTCTTCTTCGTCTTCTTCTTCTTCTTCTTCTTCTTCTTCTTCTTCTTCTTCTTCTTCTTCTTCTTCTTCTTCTTCTTCTTCTTCTTCTTCTTCTTCTTCTTCTTCTTCTTCTTCTTCTTCTTCTTCTTCTTCTTCCTCGTCTTCTTAAAGGGCCTAAGGGGCAAGCTCCCCGCACTCGATCCAGCCCCCAGCAACCAAAGGCGTGTGAGTTCCTTGTCACTATACTTTTCCCAAGCTTGGGGAGTCCAGGTATGATTTTGACGTCTTCGACTATATTCGTCCACCCTCAAATAATCTTAACCTTAAAAGGTCACTCATGAAAGGTTGGCGCTCCGAGTGGCACTCCCGAGACCTTTCAATCTATGAGTCTCAGAGACTGTGGATCTTGCATGATCTTGCCTTGGGTTGCTCTACGATGTCACTTGTAGTCGTATTCCCCCGTGCTAAGCTACAGTGCCCCCGCCAGATATGTCTATGAAAGGCTTTCCTGCGGATCGGCTCTCACCTGCAGAACTGGCAGGGCAGCGGTGGCAGGCAGTGTCTCTCTCATTTTCTCTGGGCTGTGCACTGTGCACCGCAGCCTGATCCGACGAAGCCGACGGCGCGGTGGCGCGAGCAAAGTGCGTGGATGCGGGCAAAGCTCGGCTCAGGGGCGAGGTTTTCACGCAGAGAAGCCGGGAGGCCTCGTGGATCCCAAGCTCTTCCAGGCTTTTTTCCCAGTCGTCCGCCGAGAAGCTCCGCGAATCCAGGGTCAGCACCAGATGCTTTGGTGGGTAGTCGAGTTGCTTTCCGAGCTGAAGGAGCAAGTCCTCCAAACTCCTACGGGCACAGGAGAAACAGCTTCCACATACCTCCACAATTCTCCCACCAAAGCCGTCTAGGCCTGCCAGTTGAAAAGCAACTCGCACCGAGTTTTGCAAGCCCCGCCTGCGACCCGTGACACTGCGCAGTGTCACGCCTCCAAGGAGCATGCATGAGCATACCCGCACTTCACATGCAACAAGCAGAATTCAGCATGATGATGCAAGATGCGTACAGCTTGGACAGCCCCCAACACACCCCCAACACACCCCCACATTCCAACACCAGCCTGGGAGTGTGAGCACCATTTCCGAACCGTCGACGAAGCCCACTTGCAAGGCCAAGGGGCGCTCGGCATCGCCCGCATCGCCCGCATTGCCCGCATTGCCCGCGTCGCCCGCATCCACCCCATTCTCCACAGAGGCCCTGGAAGCTTTGGACCAACGGCCCACCACGGAGCCCATGGAACCCATAAGGCAGCGATGGCAGCGATGGCAGCGATGGCAGCGATGGCAGCGATGCGCTTCTATTGGCTCTGCTCGATCTGTTTGAGCTACGTGGAGGAGCGGTCAAGCGGTCAAGCATTCAGCTCGCAGCCGGAGGAAACGCCACCGTAAAGAGCGGCTCATACACACTCAGATGTTAAACCCGTCACACCGGGAGCACTGGGAGCACTGCTTCTTCAGCACCAGCTTGCCAACCACATCGCCATTACTCCTTGAGACGGCGTCTGAGACCTGCTCTGAACTTTCCGAGGTACTGGAGGCACTGCTGTCACTCTTGCATTCGGATCCCTCTTGGGTGAAGGCTAGGAACCCCAGCCCACACATGTCAATCAACCTCCTTCCCTTTGTGGACCATCAGAGCTCGTACCACAACCTGTGTCAACCAATGCCAATCAAATTGCCAACAGCACACTCTTCAGGACCTTGTTGCAACGGCGCAAGCAAGCTGCTGGGTATCACCTGCGAGGCAGGTTTTTTCAGCTCGTCGTGGCAGAGCAAACCCTGACAAAACACTGGTACATTCTTGTACAGAATTCTCAACATCCCTGAGCTGCATCTACGCTTTTCGTCTTCTCCCGCTGCCGCACAACCCCAAGGCGCAGCGGAGGGTCCCCTGGGAGTGGCCAGGGACGCTGTGAGTCGATGACTCTGCAGTGGGATTCAGTCTAGATGTAAAGCGTTCCAGAACTCTAGAATCGAGAAGTGCTCAACACTTTTGGAAGTGGTCGAGCGAGATTCGCATGTTTGTTGGTAGTTTGTTGTTTGTTGCCACCGCAGTGCATCCGCCGGCTATGTACAACTCTTGATCCCCTTTTCCACTGTGACCACGGGCTGGGACCACTGACGTCTTGCAGGGTGCAGCCCAAAGCAGCCCGTGCGACATCCATCGTTCAGTACAGCCACAGCTTCTTGATGCTACTTTAGGCAGCAATCGGCAGCAATAGGGCCATGCGGCCCATGTTGTGCAGCTCCGTGCTGCTCCTCTGTGCCCTCTTCTGCTCAGAGCCAGGGCTGCCAACCTTGCAAGTCTTTGATCCAAGCTGTGCAACATACCGCAGTGCAACAAACACCGCCAACAAACACCGCCGTGCAACATACCGCCGTGCAACATACCGCCCCATAATCAAAAGCTTCTGTCGAGATTGCTCACAGGCGCCGGCCTACGTACATCTGACTGAGATTGCGCTTGCACATGGCGGCCTGCACACACGAGAATGCAGCAGTCGCTGCGCGATTGAACGATTGAATCCCAGACATTCCCAGACCTACCCCGCCTTGATCAGCTCGTCCACCTGTCCCTGCACTGAGAGGCCGGCACCACGGTCACGGCCTTAAGGGGAAGGAACTCCGAAACTCGCAAGATTCCCAAAAGGTCGGATTTTGTCAAAGGGTGTCAAAGAAAACGGGCAGCAACTGTGAGATTGCACCCGCCTTGGCCAGTTTTCTGAGATGCGCGCCCAGCAAACTCCGCAAACGCTCGTCTTTCGATAGAACCGATTCACGAACGTCCTGGCTACTCGGCCCAAGCAGACACGCAGAACGCAGAGACCCGTCATAATCACTCCATTCAGCCAGTCATCGATGATCGATGGCACAAAGCGGCTCCACTCAGGTCTCGGCGCGCCCACGGGGTGGCACCAGAGCGCCAACATTCAACATCCCATTCCTGAGGCTCTCCGTCGAAGCTCCCATCCCCCACTCATCGCCTTCAAGTTCCAAACTCTGAGCTTCTGGCAGCTTCTTCTCCACGTCGCCGATAGTATCGCGTGCTGTTTGCACCTAAGCTCAACACTCTCGCGAATGGATGGATGGGCTCTTGAACTCTTGGCATGCTTGATAACTGGGCAGCTACTGGGTACGCCGGCTCGGTGTTCAACAGAGGTCCCCTTGCGAGTGATCTCCAGGAGCGGATCGGCCACGAAGACCTCTTTCCATCGTCTTGAGTCTCTGAGCTTCAGAAGCAGCAGTTCTTAAAGTCAAGAGCTGTCAAATGCTACTGCAAGGTGCGGTAACTGAATAAAATTCAGCAACCGTGTAGCACCGACTCGAGGGGCCGGCGTGCAGAACGGAGAGCAGCGTCTGCGTGTTGCCGCGGTCTCGGAGCACCTGAAGCTCACTTTCATGCAAAACACAAGCAATTCTTGTGAAACTGTACAAGACATACTATGTAAATGAAGTGTATATATATATATATACATATTGTTACCCCAAGAGAAACAAACAAACACCCTGAGTGTGATTAAAGCGTGGTGGGCTTGGAGGAGGGACGACGGGATCGCCATCCTTCATTCACCTTACTCAGGGTTCAGGATCGTTTAGGCCTAGACCAATACAGTTTCGACATTGATGCTTGAGGAAATTGATACTATTGTTTCAGTCGCTAGGGAAAGTGCAAGGTTGTGGAGTAGAGCGTCAGCCTCATCTTCAACGAAGAAGGCTTCCAGGACTGTCACGCGAAGAGTGATTACTTCTAGTTTCAGCCGCAAATAAGTAGGGTTGACAGGAATGGGGCTTGGGCCTAAAATTAAGGATCACGAAACATGATGATTCCTCAACAGTATGTGTTGAAAGTAGGGGAATAGGGTCTGGGCTTACGCGAAATTTCTTTGGGGGAATAGAGTATGGGCTTAGCGAAATGCATCTAGTGGCGAAGAAAATGCAAGGTTTTGGCCAAGGCTTCAACATGAGCCTTCAACACTTTGGGTTTACAGCAAGAGGGCTTAGGCGAACATAGGAAGAGGGTATCAGCCAAAATTGTCAACGAATAGGGTTAAGCGAAATTTCTTTAGTGGCGAAAGAATAAGAATGGACTAGGCTTCAAGTTCAAACCTTCAACAAGTAGGCCTAAACAGACTGGGCACACTCCGCAGGCACCCGAAGCATGACTATTCCCAAACATTACTCCTTTGCAAGCATTTGGGAATAGGGTCTGTGTCAAACTTTAAACGAACTATCAGCAGTTGGGTTTTCTTCATGTTTAGTGGAACTCTTGAGGGTGTCCGCTAAGGGCCTGCTTGCAGAACTTCCGGGTGGGGAGACGGTGTGAGTGGGCTACCATCAACGTCCTCACACTGTCCTTACAGGGTATAAAGGGGGGGGGGGGGGGAGCAGCGACACTTTGATGTATATGCATGTCATATATGCTGTGCGGCTATACCCGGCATGGCGCAGGTGACTATGAGGCGTTGCTAGGCGTAAGAAGTCTACTACCATGAAAGGTTTGTGGTTTCTTGGGAGTCACAGGGTGCCTCCATGGTCACTTCGCAGCACTGCCGGAAGGTGCCTTCGACTCCAGTGATGCCCATCGCCTGGAGCTCGGGGAGCTTGTCGTCAACGTGTGTGAGCGACGCGTGAATAATATGTGTGTGAGCGTGAGAACGAGTGAACGTGCAACATCGTGCAACACACCTAACCTAACCTTCGCGTATTGCGCGTGTCATGCGCCAAATTGCATGAAAGCCGAGCCGGGCCAAGGAACTGCCACGCAGTTTTGCGTCAGGCGGAAAGGGACCATCTCGGGCCTCTCGAGCAGCATGCCTGCCAGGAGACTCTCGGAATGTTTCCGAAGAGCACAGGGCAGTCATGGAGTCACCGGCAATCGAAGTCTCAGTCTGAGCTTGCAAACTCGTTGGAAGAGAAAGAGCTCTCTGCCTTTGCCAAAGAGGCAATCGAAGTCCACGTGAACCATCCTTCAAGAAGCACTATAGTACAGCGATCAACGCAACTGAACAATGCGAAGTTGTGCTCATAAGAGCCCGAAACGCGCTACTCTAATCGTGTGGAACAGATGTAAGAAGCTGCTTGCGCCGGGTTGGACATGGGCATTCCGCCTCCCCGATTCTGTGTCGATGAGAATGTTCTCGCCATGGCGATCTCCCAAGCCCACGAGGTAGCCCAGCATGCACCACAGCGCCTCTCACAACGCAGGGCGCTCTTTGTTTGCAACAGATTTCATACAAATCGTCGCCTCACACGATCTACGTTGTTTTTCTTCTCTTGTAGCTAGCTCTCTTCGGTTTGCGATTCCAGTTGCTTCTTGAGGCTAGGAAAACACCAAAACTTGCAGTGCTTCCCATGGTCTCTAAAGTGTGCTGGCAGCAAGGTTGCAGAAAAGCTTATGTTGGCTGCCTGGTCTCTGCAAACGGAATGCATCTTTGGATACTGCCTAGGGCCTAAGTGTTGTGAATAGGAACGGCGTCCATTCCAGTGCTTCAGCCACGTCTGCAGTTAAGTTCAACTTTCTTAACTGCTGGAGGTGTGTTTCATCAGCTAACCAAAGCTATCGGACCTGATGCACGAAAAACACCCTCCAGTTGCATAACGATATACAGAGTACCCTTGCAAATATGGGCCCACAGTTGTACTAGAATTCAAGTTATTCAACCAGAACTTCCACCTCTACCTATAGTAACTGAACTGGCGAGAACGGTCTTCCGAATGCAGTGCCCATTGTTAATTATGGATGGTGGAACTAGCAGCTAGCAGCGATTAAACGAATTACGTTGACGAAAGTACTTAGATATGTTTCACGTATCCAATAGGTTTGGGAGCGAACATAATTAGGGGTCAAGCCTACTAGCTATACTCATTGCTTGAATGAGGAGCATGGCCTGTCGTAAACGAACAAAGACTGTATATGATAATATGGCTAACAAGTGAACCGAATTATTCAAATGTACTCGCTTCAGGTTCCAACGCCGGGTCTCTGAGGAGGGCGGGGTTCCGTCACTGTCTGTCCTCAACTTCCACGTCCGAGCTCTCAACCTAAACGGGATTGTGGTCGGGTCTGTCTTCCTCGTAGCCTGCCAGCAGCTGTAGCCCTCAAGTTTTTCGGTGTTTTTGCCTCCGTGTAAGTATACAATTTTAAGAGCGTTCTGGATTCACTCTTCTCTTCAGGCGGCTAGAGAAAACATCGAAATATCCGAGAGGATACAGGGTCTGGAGGACCTTAGGTCCAAGGATTTGGAGAACTTGGTGGCTTAACACTTTTCTAGTTTTCTTCAGCTGGCTCGGAGAAGTTGCAGCCACGCCACACCTCCCATTCCACGCATCCACCATTGCCAGAAGACGATCATGGGATGTGCACATAAATAATCCATACATGCGTAGTATGTATCTAATATCTATTCTCATGTTCTTTTATTGGCCTCTCGTGCTTTCTTCTTGCTTTGCGGGGAGCACGAGGCCAGAGTGGCCTGCGATTGGCTGAAGAGGCTCCGCTTGGCCAACCACACGGAGGGGTCGCCGGAGCGGGCGAACCACCTCTCTGAGAAGGAAAGCAGAGAGAAGAAGAAATGTTTAGAGCAGAAATTAGAGAGCAGAGAGCTCTCCTTGCTCTTGTCTACACGTTCCCCCCCCCCCCCCCGTTTTTTGGGGAAGGCTCTAGCTTGGGGGATCTCTCGCACCCTCACTGATACTTCGATCCTATGTGCGGAAGACAGCCATGCCTGTGCAGTATCGGAGGATTCCGCGGCAGCACCTGCCGAGTGAAGGTCTCATAGATGTCCTGCGGACCATAAGCATTGCGGTTTTTGGTGCACACATCATGGCCTTTCTTTGCTCCCCCTGTTGAAGCGTCCTTACTCCGATCGAAGAGCTCCTTCACCTCGTTCAGGCTTTGTCGCGGGTTCTTTCTGCCCTTCCAGAGATCATCGATGACGTGACCTAAGTGCACTGCAGCAGCTGCACAGCAGCTGATGTTCAAATTGTTCCTGCGCTCGAGGAACGGATCGGAGCCGAGTCCCTGACGCAAGCCTTTGGTGTTCGGAACCCACTCAATGAGTCCGCACTTCTCTGACAGGATCACCACCTGCCAGCCGTCACTACCACTCAAGGCACATGGAGCCATCATGGAGCCGACCAGCGGTCGAAAAAAATGCGCCTGGAAGGTGCGGACCTCCAGGTTGCGCCGGTTGGCATCCTGTAGAGGCGGAGCTGAAAGAAAAGTTTCACCAAGTGTGTGTTTTAAGCCTCTCCCAGATGCGGCCAAGCAGCGGGGCTCTTGGCCAGGAGCTGGTTGACCATCGCCGCAAACTCCATCAAGCGGGAGTCCTCTCGAGCATGGCCCTACAAACTTCAAACCCCCAAAAAGCCCGTCACAAAACATCCAGCCCGAAAATGGAAAGCCCCTTCTCTACCGAATTGCCCACAATTGGGAGAAAAAAACTCCCAAGCGCAGAATGCGAAGCGAACCACTGCAAGCCCTGCCTTGCGCAGGTCGCCGCGCTTCTCCGCTTTGCAAAGGAAGGGGTACTGGAGCCCGTCGCTGCCAAGGAAGGTCAGCTTCTTGGGCTTCTCCTGATGACATGTGGTGTGATCCGTGGTGGCATGTTGCGTGATCCAAAAGTCAGGGCCTTTGAACAAGAGGGCGAGCTTGCGCGGGAGGGGCGCGGGAAAGACCATTCCAAAAAGGATCCTCTCTGAAGATCCCTCCGCATGTGCCTTGGAGCGGAAGACTTCCACGTGCTCCAGACACCTCTGCGAAGCTTCAAGATTGAGCCGTAAACCTTTTCAAAGGCCTGCCTTCCCATTCTGATGTTTGGCTGAACGTGCAGGGGCAGCGAGGATCGACAGCTGAGACTCAGATGCAGTGCTGAAAGAGAAAAGGGCCGCTTGAGGAATCTACTACAAGATACTACAAGTAGGTTCTCGGAGATTCAGATTGATGTTGCTTCGATCCGTCAAGACATGCCTGGTCGTTGCGGGTGATCAAGTCGGCCAAAGAGAGACTATTCTTTAGACATGTCCAAGATATAGTGTCCAGTGACAACGGCTAGATTTTCCAAAGGCTAACAGTCAAAGGAAACTGCAGAACCCATCGGTTCAGGCAATACTGACCCGGAACCCCCCCTCCCACGCCTCTCGGTGAGGATGGCCTCGGGGAAGAAGCTCCGCAGCTGCACCGAGCGGATCTGTTCTGCGGAGTTGATCCTCCGCACTCAAGCTGTGGCCTCCGTAACCGGCCTTAAAAGCTCAACACATTTGTTGCGGAAAAGTGCTCTTCTCTACCTGCATAAAGATATGTACAAATACAGATATATATATATATATATACATATATGTATATCTGTATATATAAATATATATCTTTTAAGATGGTCTCGGACTCCCGCGCGCTCCCCCCCCCCCAAGGTATCCGGTATCCCCCACCCCCATGGAAACCGCCCCCCCCCCCCCCCCACACACCATGGTCTCCCCCCCAACCCCCAAACCTCTCCGCTAAACCTTAAACCTCACACCCTTAACCTAAACCATAAACCTTCAACCCCAGATGCAAACCCCCCATTCACAGCACGGGCAGCGGGGGGGCTAAACCTTTCACCCTAAACTTATGTAAACCATAAACCTTAAACCTCAACCGATTCACAGCACGGGCAGCGGGGGGGCTAAACCTTTCACCCCAAACTTATGTAAACCATAAACCTTAAACCTCAACCCCTAAACCCTAAACCCTCAGGGGAAGGGGGTGGGCGGCGCAGGGGTAGCACGGGTGGCCGGTCTCTTAAGCCTTCAGCCCTAGATCCTAGCCCCAACCCTCACACCACCCACCTAAACCTTAGACCCCAAACCCTGAACCAAATAAACACTAAACCCCAACCCCCCCAACCACACCCACACCACAAAAAGGCGCGGGCCCAAAACCCCTAACCTCCCAACCACACCAACAGGGAGGGGCGGGCTGGGCGTGGGCGGGGGTTGTTGGTGGGGGCGTGGGGGGGTGAGTGGGGGGTTGGGGGGAGGTTGGGGGGGTGGGTTGGGCGGGGGGTGGGTGGGGTGGGGGTGGAGCCCGAAACCATACACATCCATCGACCCATCCATCTATCTATATAGTGCGTGGGGTGTGTACAGACTCCTCGGCTCCGGTCCTTGGGATTGTCGCTGTCATTTGCCCCTGCAGCGGGACCAGCACGCGCCACTTCTCACTCCTCCCGAATCCGAGGCCATGCGAGCCATGCGAGCCATGCGAGCCATGCGAGCCATGCGAGCCATGCGAGCCATGCGAACCCTGCTCTGCTTATTCGCGTCGCGGACGTACTCACATCTACAAAACCTGCAGAGAAGTGCATCTCGAGCATCTTCCTTGAGCTCTGGACCCCGGCGAGGCGCGGGAATGTTTTCGACAGCCGCAGAGCCTCGGACGCCAAAGCTGCTCTCGGTCGCTATCTCGCGACAGGAAAGAGAGGACATCCCACCGACTGTACGGACCTGTCCCTACCCCAAGTATTCTACTTTTTGACGAGTTCCGCACATCCTGGCCGTTGCAATTCGCCAGTGAGATGAGATCCTACACACGAAGCTCTCCCCAATGCAGATCGTGTTGGGGCGCTCGGGAAACAGTGCACTCACGGGAAGCATTCCATTTCAGGCCACATGCGTCCTCCGTGATACGAGCCCTCTGGGAGAACAAGGTGTGGAGCTCCCTCTCTTGCCTGTCGATTCGAAGCAAGAATCTAAGAATCGCAGGTGAACAGCAGTTCTGGCAGCTCTGGCGCCTCCCGACGTCGCTCAGCAGTTCCTGTCTTGAAACGTGAAAGCGGATTTACGTCATGCTTGTGCAGTGCTCTCTGAGCTTTAAGCCTGCAAGCCTCAGCTCTTAGCCACATCGTGAAGCTCACGGCTTTATCAGAAGCTCCCAGAAGTCGGGGGCTCCTTCCCAAGCTGCTGGTGGCCCTTGTCGTCCTTGGCACAACAGATCGCACACCCCCAGATACCCCCAGAGCAACTCACGCAGAAATGAAGGCCATATTCCTTGATAGGAGGGGCAATTCAGAACTAGTCTCTTTGACCAGGCCACTGACTTGAGGAGCTGCATCAAGTGCCAGCCAGCCGGGTCGGGAAAGGCCACCACCACGGACTTGATGATTTCCTCAAGTTGAAACTTCACTTGGTCATGCCTACCAAGGGCCTGCAATTCCCGCGCACGGCCTACAGTGTCGAAGGCAAGCCTCTTAGGCTCCCGGGAAGCTTAGAACTTAGAGCCCTTCTCCAGAATAAAGAGCAGCCAAGAGACTCGGAAGACGGCCCTCAGAGTTGACAATAGGCTCGACCGAAAAGAAGTGCTCACACCCTAGGCTTTGGTTTAGGAAACGTCTCTCCTGAGCTTAGTCTGCACAACGAGCGGCCGGAACATGGCTGTCACGAGAAGAGCGACGTCATCAGCGGAAGAATTAAAGGCTTGCTTGGATGCTGCATATGCCGCCACGCCCACTCTATCCGAACTATCCGTGCGCCCAGGCGCCGCATGTCTGGCTGCAGCGCACGGCTGATGAGCTGCGACAGGACGGTGTACCACATCCATGGCATCAGACTCCGACCCTGTGCGTCGCAAGGCGTGTCACTACACAGCGCGCCTTCCACGTGGTGCTAGGATCCCATGCCAAGCCCTGGCCTCATTCATGAGCTCTGCGTTCACCTCCGCCTTCTGAAAGTTCACCTACAGAGTACAGCTCAAGCAGCATCCCGAAGATGCGGCTCGACAAGCAAAGGAGTGCTAAATGCCTAGATGCTCCACAAAATTTTGCTGCATGGGCCTCGCAGCACTCCCAGGCAAGCTGAAGCACCCGGTTGAGAATAAAGTGAACACCTCCGACGGGCTTGGGAAAAATCACTCATTTACAGCTTCCTAAGTCAGCTGTTCGTGAAATTTCTTGAAGCTCATTGCTTGAGACGAGGCGCGCTTTGTTCCTCTTTGCAGTGCCTGCAGATATCCACGAACCGTGAAGCTCACCAGGTTCTTGCGATCGAAGGGACAATTCCTCAGGAAACTCGTTGAGTTTTGTGACGGGAGGATGCGGCTCTGGTATCCCGGGGCGTCGGCTCACTACGCGCCGTTCCTTTGGCCTCGACTTCGCTGATCTGTCCCTTGAGGAGGCCGTCCAGGTACGAGGCGTGATAGAAGTATGCGGCCTACGAAGTAGGAGTCCGCTCCCATCATCATGAAAGTGCTCAGTCAAGCGCACCCCCTTTCGGAGTAACTAGGATGCATGGCATTCTTCCACAGGCCACCGCCCTAAAGGAAGGAGAGGAGGAACTGTAACTGAGTGAGCACAGGACAAATGTATGTATCGGCCTCTGAGTCGCGGAGCTGCTCCTTGGCCTCCCAAGAAAATGGCGCGGTGTAGGGTGGCAGATTAGTAGAAGGAAGAGGCTATCGGGGAGGGTCTCAATCTCCGCCACGCTATTTGTGCTGGGCCAGTGCTGGGAGTGCCTGTTTGGCTACAGGTGCCAGTGTCTCTCCATGTGGCTGCTTGCTCCAACTCCCTTGTCTCGTTTGAAAGATGGTAGATTCGGCAGACCCAGTAGATGTGACGCACTACAAGACTAAGAGTATCAGTACAAGAGTGCGAAACAATAATCTGCAAAAACATCTTTGAACACCGTCAATGGACCCGCACAGCTCAAGTGCGTCGTGGCCTCTAACCCCCCAGCCTTCCTTCCGTTCTGCACTCTCACTCTCTCTGGTTTGCACCGCTGGCCTCCTGGAACTCCACCTCGGCCACCCGAGGCAGCAGCAGCGAGGCCTCCGAAGCCTCCGGAGAATGAGAGAACGAGCAGAGAACCGGCAGAGAGGCGCAAAGGAGCGGAAAGAGCGGCGCCCTTCTGCTGAGTGTGGCACCCAGCGTGTCCCCAACAGGCGAGCTTTTGCATCGCGCTGAGCCCAGCTTCGCCTCCGGAGTTGCTACCAGTACACCTCTCTCTGTGCTGGTTCACACTCATTCACAGTAGATACGTTAACAACGGTTTATATCACAGTTTTTCTGGTTAGACGACAACAAAAATGCTCTAAAAGCAAATACAACGAAACAATCAAGAACCCAGACACGTACGCATACTAGAGACCCTCTCTTGTACACAGTTCCGTGCGGTATTGCCGAGCCGCGCGTGGCGCAGGGCATCGGTCCGGGCCCCGCTGGCATAGAGGATCCTGGGAAGCGCGCTCTGCACTGATGGAAGGGAACACTCTCAGATCTAAGATCTCAGGGGCATCATGTCAGCAAACGCCAGCAAGTGCACGGATGTGCAGGGCTTCTTGCAGGCAACGCGGCTTGCCCCACTCGATCTGCGCAGCACGACGAAGACCTTCCGATGTTCCCTGAAAGCCTCAGGGAAAGTGGGACGCTTACAACCACTGTCACGCCATGCCCACGACCCAGGGTTGCCACTGGTGTCCGGATGCTCCATGGAGATGTGTTCCTTATGCTTCCGACCTTGGAGGTGTTTAAGGGAGATCTCTCTTGAAGTCTTGGTGACGGCTAGTGACCCAGGGAAGCAGCAGAGCCGGGCGAAGGCCAACTCCAAGGTTTTCGCGTCCTCTCGCAGTTTGAGGTCCTGGGGGAATGGGCAAACAAACGCGAATATGGCTCAAACGATGCTCAACGCATCCACACCGAATCCACCTGGAGCAGCACCGAGAGCGGTCTGAGGAGCGTGTGCCGCACCGAGAACGACGGCGTCGTGATGTCCTGGGGGCTAAACACTAGAGGAAAATAAAGTACGGAGCTGGTGAGGTGAGATTCGGTTAGATTCACAACCTAAACGCCTTAGAGACTGCTGAAATCGCAGTGAAGGACAATGCCGCCTGAGATGATCTGAGATACAACTCGTCCCAGTCACCACGAGTAGGGTGTCAATAGATTCAGCGCCATGCGGCACAGCGGGCAAGGAGATTCTTGGCGACTTCCCCAGGCTTTGAGGAGGAGGGAGTCTGCACGGGCAGGCTAACAAGTAGGCTTTTGATGTCGACTCACTGAGTCTCATAAGCAGTCCCCAGCCTCCCGGCACTTGCTCAACCACTCGATGTCTGACAGCACATGTAGACCTCCGAAGCAAAGTCAGCACAGAAGGCTTACGCCACAGGGACTGTGGCTTACAGCCTCATTCTCCAGTTTCGGAGTCGAGCGGAGTCAAGCACACAAAAGGCACACTCTGGGACGGCCACGCACGAGGTGCTGGTAGGCCCGGGTGTAGGATTCACGGGCTGCAGCCGAAGCAGCACGGGCGACCTACGCCATAGAAGCCATAGCAAAGATCAACAAGCCGTTTCTGAGACCCGTCGAAGAGACGAAGATGTGTAGATGCACAAGCTGCATCAGGGCGAGCCGAATTTGCAACACCCAAGAGATCTCAAGAGCCACAGGATGACTCCGACCTAAGCACAACCCGCCTCCAGGGTTGTCTCACGGAGTGTGCTGGCCAAATTCGCCGAATCCCGCTCATGTACTGCCAGCACTGCTCTTCCCAGCTTCACCTTGCCGGAAAATGAACAGGACACGCTAGGGCTGGTAGGGGTGCTTGCAGTGCTTTTGGATGAGACGCCTGGAAGTCGCAAGGTGCATCTGGAGCTGGCTCCTGGCAAAGCGGAAGGTGGTCTCCTTTGAACCTTGACAACTCAATGTCTTTGATGTCTTTTATCGTATAATGTCGTTTGCATGTCGACTTCTCATCGCCTCACCTGAAGGACCTGTGCCAGTCGATCCCAGCTGCCCAGCTGCCAAGCGGCCTCGCAGATGCTTTACTTGGAGGTTCAGGGTACTTACAACCCCGATTATAACTGTACTTATTTGACCCCTAAGTCCCTAAGTCCTCTAAGTAGGTTGTAAGGGGACTTATAATTGGGGTTACAAGTACCCATGAACCTCCAAGTAAGCATCCACAGAGGTTTAGAGAGTATGCTGGTCGAGTATGCTTGAGTGTCCGCTCCTGCCAAGTGGCAGCTTCTACTTAAAAACCTTATACATGTCCTCTTGCCTCCAAGCTCAAGTGGGGCAGGAGAGTACTTCCCTACTCCAAGACCTGAGCCCGAAGCCATCTGCTCAGACCGAGGCAATCGAGCTTGTCTGAGAAAAAACATATAAAATTCGGAGGCCACGGAGTTTTTCTCGGGAAAACCAAGGAAAGCAGCAGAGGTGTTCCAGGTAAAAACAGAGAAAGAACAAAGGTTTTTCCTCTGATTTTCCGAGAAAGTAGAGGTTTGCCTAGCCTAAATCGGCAGAATAGAGGTTGTCCCACCCCACCCCCCAACCCCCCCCACCCCCTCAAAAAAAGAAACACAATAAATCGCGAACAGTTCGCGAAACTGTTCTCCACCCTTTGGGATTTAGGCATGTTCAGGGATCCAGGGGTATGGGTGTCAGGTTTCGTGTTTAAGTTTAAGGTTCAGGATTTAGGGGTTCTGGGAGGAGAGTTCGAATATATTCAGGTCTGCATATTCAGGTCTGCAGATCTGGGATATGGAGAAGTTTGGCAGGATCGGTGTGTCCGCTTCGATTACAGTCCGCCATCTGGAAAATTGCGCATTGGCCGCTGTTACACAATAGCCTGCCCACCTGGACGAGATGCTCCGAAGCACAAGCAGCCGAGTGGAAATGCCCTACACCCTGAACACCCTGAACCCCGACACCTCCCAAGACCTCAACTCCACAGCCATGTACGCCCCGAAAGTCCGATCTTCCTCTTCCACCCCCCCTCGGCCTCAACTGCTTGTGGCCGCAGTTGAGCTGCCAAATCAGGCTTCTCCTACAACGGTGGATCTTGCTAACTCTGCAATGTACTCTGAGACACGCCAGAACCTGCTGAAACAATACATCCATTGAATCAGTGCCTGCTGGATGCCGTTGATGAGTTGAAGGGAGCTCTCGTATCGGTGCATCGCCTCATCGTGCCCGGTGGCAGAGCACAAACAGAGCACAAACAGCTCGCTCAGGCAGACATCGGCTGCACTGTGGACTTCGAGAGACATGGGCGGTGACTGACAAGATGCCGAAAAAACAGCAAATGTTAGTACTGTTAGTTAGAGGAGATATAGTCAGATATAGTCAGATAGAAGAGATCGCTAGGGCGGTGGTCGAGTCGAGGGCGCGATTGCCTGTGTGCAGCGCACCAGGCCACAAAGAGCTTGGCCGCGCTCTGGGCCCTCCGTGGCCAACTCATGGCAGGCCTCTCCCAGACTCTCCCATTTACGAAGAAAACAAGCAGAGCCGCCAAAAACGCCTCCCTTCTTCTGCTCTTTTCCGTGTGCAAGCAAAGACTTCTTGGCACTGTTGCGCAGTCCTGGACGTCAGCCCAACGCCCTTGAAGCTCAAGTTCAGGGCGACGAGTCCTAGGGAAGCACTTGCAACTGCGTTCGTTGGCACAAGTGAGATACAAGCCGCTACATGCTGCTACATATAAGCCCCCGCGAGACACAAACACGTCCATGCTCAAAACAATGCCGCAAGATCCTGGCACTTGCGGGGCCGATCCGCAACACGCCGACCACGCCGTCGACTTCACCTTGGCAGCTTGTTCTTTACAAAGCGAATCCCAGCATCGTGGCTTCGGTTTTTCTAGCCTTTTGCTCTTTCCTTGGCAAGTGAAATCCCCTCCCTGTCAAGTCTAGCGAAGGAAGCGACGTTCCTAGCTCTCTGCACAAAGGTACACCGAGTGGTACACGGCTAGCTCAAATGGTAGCCACCACCGTGCAGTACCCAACTAGAGAGAGCTGCTGGGAGTGCGAGTGGCCAAGTTCACGGTAGATCTTCTGGAGCAACTCACCGTCTGCCTCGGAAAGGCGTGGCCCTTCCATGTCGAAGATGTTCTGCTTCCGCTGGAACGCCTCATCAAGAGAACACATCTTAATCTTCGCACAGCTAGTTCAAGCTTTAGTAAGATCTTCATAACTTCGTAAGGGACCACACCATGTCCATCCGAAAGCGGCAGACGGGGCAAGTAAAGCCCAGGCGAAGCACCGGACCAGACTGCAAATTTGCTGCCATTGAAGGATTGGGACATACCGGGACCCCTCGCATAGGGTTTCAGGACAATGGCACATCACGGTCAGAGTCAGACGGCGCCTGCTCGATGAGGTCCTCCTCCAGAAACTGCAGTGCACGGGCGTGCGCGCCACAGCGGAGCGCAGCCGACACCACGAGGCGCGGGGCAAAGGGCATCATGAGCAACTCCTGACTGGGCAGTTTGATGAAGGGGGAAGTCCGTACCTGACTTTGCTTGACCACAGGGTTTCTTGTTGCTTCTGGGCCGCGATCCGCTGCATCTGCCGGGTCTTCCAGGTCTCGTCCCCGGTGCGGGTCACCGAAATCCCTTTGACCTCCTCCTAGGGAAACAGCTGCAAGAGGCAAAGAGGAGGGAAGCTCCCGCAATCTGCACGCGACTGCTGAGAACCGTGAGTACGTGAGCTTGCCTGGCGCTGGAACAAGTCGTCCAACAGTGAGAAGACCTGGGATGCAACTTGGGCAGGCGGACGAGGGTGAGGATGCCAAAAAATCGGCAAAATCTCTGAAGCTCCGAGGCTTGCCCATCTTGCCGCATCTTGCCCCATCTTGCCCATTCAGCCCACGCTTCAATCCGAGGCGCGGCTTGCGCCGTGGCCTCTGGGTGAGCGCCTCTGAGACAAGCTGGGGAGCGCGAATCGGCCAAGCAAGAAAAATCAATCATCCCATGGCTTTGAAGCTGCCTTGAAGCTTCCCCTAACCCACTGCCCCAGCCCTTCCACGTGCCCCCGCCTTCCCCGAGTCTCAGCAGTGCCGCCAGGCGCTCGGCCAGCGCCGCGAGCTCGCTGGCGTCCGCGGGACCATTCAGGATCTCGGGCAGCGCCTCCAGAAGGCACCCGAGCATCAGAGAGAGAAGTCAGAAGTCCAGAAGTCGCAAGAAGACATAAAAGTGTTTTCTCAGCAAGCCACCACCGCGACCACCCTGCGCGTTGCTGCGGCCAGGGCACTTGGTGCATGAGGAACAGCGTGAGCGCATGGTTGCCGGGTACCGCAGGCATGCAAGCCTGGATGCCGGATGACGTGGCGCGTGCTGCTTGCCGAGATAATTAACTTAACACGCGCCACTCAGTGGAAAATTCAAAATTCAACTCCATGTGTGAGCTCCTCGAAAAAGGCCCGCCGCTCAGTTGGTAGAAGCTTGGAGGCGGCGATGAGGGCGTCTGCAACGGATTGCAACGGGGGCTCTGTGAAGCCCAGGGTCCGAGTCTTAAACATCGCTTCTGACACCGTTCAAAAATGTTCACAACCACTCCATTCTACAAACCCCATCGCTCCTTCGAAGGTTGCCATTCCTTGGCTGGCCGCCTTCGAGGTAGTCACACGCCTTGGCTGCTCAAAGCATATGTCCCTCCCACTTTCGCTTGGTAAAGCTGCACATGCTCAACAACAATGGTAGAAAGTGAGGCTCATTTT